CCATACCTAAATTTGATTGAGAAGTGTATAGTGTCAATTTGTTGACCCGTGCCTTTTTGTGTTCCCAAATGCAGGTGTTTAATAGTGATTGTAGTTTTTGTATGGATGAAGATAGTAATGGTATTGGGATGGCTCTAAAGAAATATAAAATGTGAGGTAAGATAAATATTTTTCCAATAGCAATTCTTCCGACCCATGAAATAGTGGTGTTGGAGGACTCTTTACATTCTGTTCTGTTATTTTAATGAGTAGATTGGAAAAGTTGATCTTAAATATGTTTGAGTGGGGAGATGTTAATCTTATTCCTAGGTATGTAATTTGTGATGATGTGGCCCATGAGATGGGGGAGTTTGATGAAATTAATTTATATAGTTTAGGTGGGATTGCTATCGGCAACATGGAGGATTTGGCTTCATTTACTTTGTTCATTGATAATAAGCTAAATTGCGAGATAAACTTTTGCAATGCTATTATTGAGATGATAGGGTCGGTCATAGCAATTATGATGTTGTCAGCGTATAGTCCTATTTTATGTGTTTCGTGACCTATTTTGATACCTCCAATGTCAGGTTGTATATGTATCGCTTCTGCCAATGGTTCTATGCATAAAGCAAAGATTAAAGGTGATAAGGGACACCCTTGCCTTGTACCATTCGATATCTGCAATGGGTCAGAGAGTATACCAGATGACCATACTCTAGCACTAAGGCATGTATATAAAGCCATAATTGCTTTCTTGAACAAACCTGTTATTCCAAATTTTTCTAGTATCAGTTGTAGGTATGGCCAGTAGATTCTGTCAAACGCCTTTTTTTGCATCTAATGAGATGAGCAGAGATGGTGTTTGTGTGTAATTTGCCCATTGAGCTAAATTTATGAATCTACGTGTGCTGTCTGGTGCTTGACGTCTGTTGATAAATCCAACCTGATCTGAATTAATTAGTTTTGGTAATAATGAAGTCGGTTGACTAGAAGTTTGGCATAAATCTTTGTATCTGTATTTAAAAGTGTTATAGGTCTAAAGTTGGCTAGTGATGTGGGAGGTTTGCCTGGTTTTGGCAGTGTGATAATAAGGGCTTCTAATGTTTCTTTTGGGATATTTTCAGATGTTGTGAATTTATTAACAAATTTATGTAGATATTGGATAAGGGTTGGAGCAAAGGTTTTGTAATATTCATTGGTATAACCGTCAGGTCCTCGTGATTTATGAGAAGGGAGATCATGAATTATTTTATTAATTTTAGAGGTGGTGAAGGGTTGTGATAAGGAGTCTAGTTGTTCTGTGGAGATCTTAGGAAGTTGTAGTGATTCCAGAAATGTATTGATTTGGTTATCAGTAGGAGGTGTAAATTCTTGAGAGTTTTTTATGTTATATAGTGTTGCATAGTATCTACTAAAAGCATTGGCTATATCTAGTGGATTTATAAGTTTTTCCCTTAGATGGGTCTTTTAAATATGCAATTTTGTATTTGGATTGATATCGCTTAAATTGTTTTGCAAAATGTGGTCCTGCTTTATTTGCCTGCATGTATGATATAAATTTAAATTTTTTTATCATAAAGTCATATTGCTCCATGAGTTGAAGCCTTAGTTTCTCTCGTAGAGAGCGTAGCTAAGATAAAATCGTTTGGTCTGGGTTTTGTTTGTGGTGTGATTCCAGGAGTTTAATTTACGATAATATGTCTGTAATTGTTTTAGCTTTCCTTTTTTTTTTCGTAAGCCCCTAATTTGATGAGTATTCCTCTCATGTATGCCTTGTGTGCATTCCACAGAACAAAATCATGGACCTCTGTATTGTTATTGATATGGAAATAGGAGAGTAATTCCTTCTCTATTTGAGATTTATAGTGTTGGTTTGTAATTAGGGCTGAGTTTAGTCTTCATACAGAGAGGTTGTTGGGGTATGGTGTTGTAAAAATTTCTGATGTGAGCATGGCATGGTCTGACCATGTGATGGAGCCAATTTCGGTTTAGATATTTGCTGTAAAGATCTTTTATCTGTTAAAAATAAATCAACCCGTGAGTATGAATTTTGGGAGTGAGAAAAGTATGTATAATTTTTTTCTTCACCATGGAGACATCTTCATGTATGATATAGATCTTCTGATTCTTTAAATGATGATAGAGTATGTGATTGTCTGCGTAGTTTGTTAGTGGAGTCTAGGTTTGTATATATTACTTTATTAAAATCTCCGCAAATGATTAAAGCTTCTTGTCTTAGTAGTTTAATTTTGTTTGATAAGCTTTGGAAGAAGGTTTTATGTCCTTTGTTTGGTGCATACACATTTACCAATGTCATTAAGAAATTGTCGATATGTGCAACTAAGGTAATATATCTACCTTGCGGGTCTGAGAACATTGATTGAATTTGTATAGCTGTTGTGTCTTTTATTGCAATCATTACTCCTTTGTTTTTTTAATTAGCATTTGCAAAAATGTATTGTGTGAATTTCCTATGTTTGCATGTAGGTGGGTTAGTCTTGTTAAAGTGTGTTTCTTGTACACACAGTATATCACATCTGGTTTTTAAAGATTCTCTCCATAGAGATGTGCGTTTGTAAGGGCTATTAAGTCTTTTAACATTAAAGGATGTTATGATGACCATTTCTGGGTTTTATATAATTGCTCTAAAGTAGCTAGTATTGTAGTTATAAGTTGTAGGTACCAAGCACAGCACTGATCATCCCCCCCCCCCCCCCATGCTCTGAAGGGTATCTGGTTTTTGAGATGTATCCATCAATAGAAATGTTAGCTGAATATGAGGATAAGGAGAATGTAATAAGCATAGTAAGAATATAAAAGAGTAAGAAGAATAAGAAAACATCAACAAAACAAAAACTTGTATGACTGTGCATACAAGTGTGGGTGTGGAGTGTGTAGTATACCTGATAAGTATAGGGGCTAACACTTCCCTGCTAATGCAGAAGTAGGCACTGAGACATCCCAATAGGGAAAAGATAAAAGAGACCAAAAGTCCCAGTGTTCGGGTTGTCGGGATTGTAACCTAGTCTGCGGATATTTTGGTATGCATTTCTTTACGCATATATTGTGGCTCTGTTGGTATAGCGATATTCCATGATGCCATAATTTTTATCCCATCATTAGGGGTCAGAATTGGGATTAATTTCCTTTGAAAGTTGGCTAATATTTTTGTGGGATATCCTCACTGATATCTTATTTTATGGGTTATTAGAGCTGATGTGATGTGTTTGAATTCTTTGCGTTTTTGTGCGGTATAGGCTGATATGTCCGAAAATATAGCAAATTTTTCATATGGAGCTGGAAGTGTTTTAAGTTTTCTCATAGCTATCATGAATGCTTCCTTAGCATGAAAAAAAATAATTCTGGCAATAACGTCTCTAGGGACGGAATATCTCAGATGTTTAGGTTTCATCAGTCTATGGGCTCTATCAATAATGAGCTCAGATTGTGACATGTTTGGTAGAAGTGTTTTCAGTAGTCTCCCCAGGTAGATGGATAACTCTGTCGGAGTGTCTGATTCAGGGATCCCTCTGATTTTAACGTTATTCCTCCTTGTGCGGTCTTCCATGTCAGCCATTTTTTTCTTTAATTTTATGATTTCTTGTGATTGTGTCTCATAAGCATCTATCAAGGAATTGTGTGCTACAACACATTCCTGAATTTTCCTTTCTGCTGCATCTGTTCGTTCTTCAATTTGGGTGACTTGTTTTTGAATAAAATGTACAGATTTTTGAAGATGAAGGGACAATAGCATCTGTTTCATTGTAATGGCTGTGACAGGGGAGTTTGAAGCTGACAGCTCTGCCATTAAATGTATTGCTTCAGTCAGATCTGTTGTTTCAGCAGAAGTGTTAATTGTTTTCTTTTTACTTACAGGAGCCTTTGTACATGGTGATAGGAGAGGAGATGAAGCTGGCCTCTTGCTCTTTTCCTTCACTGGTGACAGAAGATCAGCTATGTCTGTGTCAGAGGCTGATGAGGATAGTTATGTGTCTTCCTGCTGCAGCTCTGACCGTTCCTGTGTGTTAGAGCCGGCGCCATCTTGGCTGTCTGCTGTGTGAGGCTGTGAGGAGAACTCTGAGTTTCTTCGGTCCCTTGGGGATTTTCTTCCCCTTTGTCATCACAGGTGGTAAGCGTTACTGGTCTGAGGTCTGTTGCTGTTTATGTCACGGCTATCTTTGATGCCTGACGTTGCTTCGGGTTGCTATTACAGCAGGGTGTGTGAGGAGCTCCTGTCTCAGGTAGCCATCTTCCCGTGCGGCTCGGACATGCCCCCTCACACAACAGTTTTATCTGCAGCCAAGATCTCTTTGGAAGGGTCTGCGGGTTTCTTTCTTTTTTTTATCAGAAGCCTGAAGGGAAATGTCATTTGCTGACAATTAAAAATCTTTTTTCCACATTTTTTGTGCATGTTCCTTAGGAGAGTTCCCCACCTCCATGTTATTTTTTTTCACAAGACTTTGCCTATTGGCTCAGAAAAATGGGCATTTTTAATTTGACAGATTTACTGATTTCAATGTGCACTCGCACACAGGGCAGCTCGGCTTACTACCAACCCTGGGTCAAATCAAATCTATAAAATGGCACCTTGCAGTATAAAGGTTACCTTCTTAATTCTGAGAATTACAAAAACACTGCCAGATATCATTGCTTTCTAAAACTTTAAAATATTGATGGCATATTTTGTGTAAATTTATAATACATGGGGAATTAAAAGAAAGTGTGAATAATGCAATAAGTGGGTATTTATTGAAGTTCTGATTCAGCATTATGTAAGTAAGAAAACTCTTGTTACTTTGTGCAGATCATGCAATGGCTCGATACCGTTTCCCATGATACTCTTAAAAATAAATTCTTTGTATAGCAAAAAGTACCTGAACACATTTCAGCATCTTCTGCTTGAGGATATTTTTCTTCTTTTTTTTATAGATTTAAAATAATTCACTGTACCATGTATTGTACATTACTGTACTTTATATGGCTTCAAATAAAGGGTGTTTCTAGGCTTCAGAGAGACTTAATATTAGTGCTGAAACACTGTACCTTTAATTTACATGCCCTTGGAGTCCCTGCTGAGGGGAAGAGAAATAATACTGTCAGGCAGTATGACATGCAGATGAGTGCCGTCGATTTAGAATCAGCACCGCACCACTTCACTCATTTGGCCAGTCACGGGGCCAAAACCAGTGTGGAGCCACAGTGTGGCGGTGGAAGGCAGCAGCAATGGGAAGCCATACAGCACCCTATGACAAAAATGGAAACCACCAGCAGTGTGAGGAGACCTGAAAAGTGCACATGGGCAGAGTGTGTGGCGATAGAGACAGCAGCAATGGGAGGCCGTACAGGGACCATGACAAACACTTCTGGACCTGGCAGCAGCATGAGGAGGCCGGTACTACAGGGGCCCATGGCAGATACGGGCCTGGCAGCAGCATGTGGGAGTCGGTAACGGGGGCCCATGGGCAGATTACAGGCCTGGCAGCAGCAGCAATGGAAGGCCGTACAGGGACCCATGACACAATCTGGACCTGGCAGCAGCATACAGATTACGGGGCAGCATTTGGGTCTGTACGGGGTACAGGGGCAGCCATGACATGACAGATTACGAGGCTGGCAAGCAGCATTTGGGAAGGACGTCAGTTCTGGTACGGGGTGGCAAACGTTATGTCTCCATCCAAGAAAGACTCTGACGGAATCCTGAAGAGGCAGCAGGAGAGGAGGCGGTATACAGGGGCGCCATGACAGATTACGAGCCCTGGCAGCAGCAAAGTTGGACAGAGCCCAAGGACGTTAGTTTTCTGCAGCAGCTTTGGTGCGTGATCGCAAAACTGTTGTCTCTTGGGAAACGGATTCCACGAAAGACTGCTGACGGAATACCTGTGAAGAGGAGTAGCAGGAGAGGAGCATGCTGGAACGCAGCGGGAGATATGCCAACAAGCGACAGGGGCCCATGACAGGATTACTGGACTGGGCAGCAGCATGAGGAGTCCGGTAAGGGGGCCCATGGCAGATTAGGGGCCTGGCAGCAGCATATGGGAGGCCCCTAATCTGCCAGCTACCCTATGACAAAAAAATTCTGGAACCCACCAGCAGTGTGAGGAGACCTGAACGTGGCACATGGCAGAGTGTGGCGATGGAGACAGCAGCAATGGGAGGCCGCGTACAGGGACCCATGACACACTCTGGACTTGGCAGCAGCATGAGGAGGGCGGTTGTAAGGGGCCCATGGCAGATTAGGGGCCTGGCAGAAGCAGCAATGGGGAGGCCCGTAATCTGCCAGCACCTAAATGTCAAAAAATTTATACACACCAGCAGTGTGAGGGAGACCTGAAAAGTGGCACATGGCAGAGTGTTGGCGAGGGAGACAGCAGCAATGGGAGGCGGTTAATGGGACCCATGAGTAGGACTTGGACCCTGGCAGCAGCATGCAAGAGGAGGCGGTATATAGGGGCTATGGCAGATTAGGGGCCTGGCAGCAGCTATAGAGGCCCGTTAATCTGCCAGCACGCCTATGTCCAAAAAAAATATCTACACACCAAGCAGTGTGAGGAGACCTGAAAAGTGGCACATGGCAGAGCTGTGGCGATGGAGACAGCAGCAATGGGAGGCCGTACAGGGAGTCCCATGAGAGACTTTGGACCTGGCAGCAGCATGAGGAGGCAGTATATAGGGGCCTATGGCAGATTAGGGGCCTGGCAGCAGCTATAGGAGGCCCGTTATATCTGCCAGCCAGCACCCTATGTCAAAAAATTCTACACACCAGCAGTGTGAGGAGACCTGAAAGTGCACATGGCAGAGTGTGGCGATTCTAAAAATTAAAGGACCTGGAAAAATCATTAAAAAGTTAATTCTTGGAAAAAAATTAAACGGGAAAAGAATTAAAAAAATATAAAAACCGAGTGTGGCGATGGAGGGGACAGCAGCAATGGGAGGCCGTACAGGGAACCCATGAGGGAGACTCTGGACCTGGCAGCAGCATGAGGAGGGCCTGTAGATTATATACGGGCCTAATGGCCAGATTAGAGGGCCTGGGCAGCAGCTATGGGAGGCCCGTAATCTGCCAGCACCCTATGTCAAAAAATTTCTACACACCAGCAGTGTGTGAGGAGACATGAAAGTGGCACATGGCAGAGTGTGGCATGGAGACAGCAGCAATGGGAGGCCGTACAGGGGACCCATGACACATCTGGACTTGGCAGCAGCATGAGGAGGCGGTATACAGGGGGCCTATGGCAGATTAGGGGCCTGCAGCAGCTAGGGGAGGCCCGTAATCTGCCAGCACCCTATGTCAAAAAATTCTACACACCAGCAGTGTGAGGAGACCTGAAAAATGGCACATGGCAGAGTGTGGCGATGGAGACAGCCAGCAATGGGAGGCCGTGGGGGGGGGGGACCCATGAGGAGACTCTGGACCTGGCAGCAGCATGATTGGAGCGGTGGTGGTATATAGGGGCCTATGGCAGATTAGGGGCCTAGGCAGCAGCTATAGGAGGGCCCGTAATCTGCCAGCACCCTATGTCAAAAAATTCTACACACCAGCAGTGTGAGGAGACCTGAAAGTGGCACATGGCTGAAGTGTGTGGCGATGGAGACAGGCACTGCAATGGAGGCCGTACAGGGACCCATGAGGAGACTCTGGACCTCGGCAGCAGCATGAGGAGGCGGTTATATAGGGGCCTATGGCAGATTAGGGCCTGGCAAGCAGCTATGGGGAGGCCCGTATCTGCCAGCACCCTATGTCAAAAAAATTCTACACTCCAGCAGTGTGAGGAGATTCTGAAAGTGGGGCACATGGCAGAGTGTGGCGATGGAGACAGCAGCAATTGGGAGGCCGTACAGGACCCATGACAGGACTCTTGGGACCTGGCAGCAGCATGAGGATGGCGGTCAGGCTGGGTATATAGGGGCTATGGCAGATTAGGGGCCTGGCAGCAGCTATGGGAGGCCCGTTAATCTGCCAGCACCCTATGTCAAAAAAATTCTACACACCAGCAGTGTGTGAGGGAGACCTGAAAGTGGCGCACATGGGCAGAGTGTGGCTATGGGAGGACAGCACGCAATGGGAGAGGCCGTACAGGGGACCCATGACCACACCTCTGGACTTGGCAGCAGCATGAGGAGGCGGTATATTGGGGCCCCCCCCATGCAGATTATGGGGCCTGGCAGCAGCAATGGGAGGCCGTAATCTGCCAGCCACCTATGTCAAAAAAATTTCTACACACCAGGCAGTGTGAGGAGACCTGAATGTGGCACATGGCAGAGTGTGGCGATGGAGACAGCAGCATTGGGAGGCCGTACAGGGGGACCCATGTGAGACTCTGGACCTGGCAGCAGCGATGAGGAGGTGGTGGTATTATAGGGGCCTATGGCAGATTAGGGGCCTGGCAGCAGCTATTGGAAGGTGGCCTGTAATCTGCCAGCACCCTATGTCAAAAAAATTCTACACACCAGCAGTGTGGTGAGGAGACCGGGAAAGTGGCACATTGGCAGTGTGTCACTATGGAGACAAGCAGCAATGGGGAGGCCGTACAGGGACCCATGACACACTCTGGACCTGGCAAGCAGCATGAGGAGCGCGGTATATAGGGGGGCCTATGGCAGATTAGGGGCCTGGCAGCAGCTATGGGAGGCCCGTAATCTGCCAGCACCCTATGTCAAAAAATTTCTACACACCAAGCAGTGTGAGGAGACCTGAAAGTGGCACATGGCAGAGTGTGGCGATGGAGACAGCAGCAATGGGAGGCCGTACAGGGACCCATGAAAGAGACTCTGGACCTGGCAGCAGCATGAGGAGGAGGGCTGGTATATAGGGTTATATGGCAGATTAGGGGCCTGGCAGCAGCTATGGGAGGCCCGTAATCTGCCAGCACCCTATGTCAAAAATTTCTACACACCAGCAGTTGTGTGAGAGACATGAAAGTGGCACATGCGCAGAGTGTGGCTATGGGAGACAGCAGCAATGGGAGGCCGTACAGGGACCATGACACACTCTGGACTTGGCAGCAGCAATGAGGATGGGCGGTATATAGGGGCCCTATGGCAGATTAGGGGCCTGGGCAGGCCAGCTATGGGAGGCCCCGTAATCTGCCACACCCTATGTCAAAAAATTCTACACACCAGCAGATCGTGAGGAGACCTGGAAAGTGGCACTTGGCAGAGTGTGGCGATGGAGACAGCAGCAATGGAGGCCGTACAGGGACCCATGAGAGACTCTGGACCTGGCAGCAGCATGAGGAGGCGGGTATATAGGGGCCTTATGGCTGCAGATTAGGGGCCTGGCAGCAGCTAATGGGGGCCCGTTAATTCTCCAGCACCCCTATGTCAAAAAATTCAACACACCAGCAGTGTTGAGGAGACCTGAAAGTGGCACATGGCAGAAGTTGTGGCGATGGAGACAGCAGCAATGGGAGGTCTCCATTGTCCCAACCATGGCCCAAATAGTCCCAACATGTGGCCCCCTGGCCACGCTTGACTTTCTGGCCACAGAGTCGACCACATACGGTTACGTTTACTTCCTCGGGCGGCTTGACGAAAAATTGCCACACCGCCGAGTAGGGAAACTTTGCCCCCCGATACTCCTCACTGAGCTGAACTGCTGCTTCCTCCGTGGCACACATCCTAGGCACACTACTGGCCGTGGTGGTAGGCTGCAGTGGAGCTGGGTGCTCTACTCCGTGGCCGTTTGGGCTCCACTGACACAGCTTCCACTGACACTGCTCGCGACCCTGCTTGCTGTCTCCTAGGCAACCCACCGACTGTTTCGCTCACTGCCAAGCTGCCACCCTCTTCTCCTGATGATGCGTGAAGAAATTGCCTGATGACGACGAGGCTGCCAAGTGCGATCAACCTCCTCATCATCAAGTAGGGTCTCTGCCTCACTACTAGCCCCCTCGGCTGCGTCTGGGGTCAGGAGACAGACCTGTCTCTAAGACCGGGCTTAACCGGGCCACTCTCCTCGCCACTACTTCTTCGCCTAGCTGCTGAAAAGGCGGATGTATCCCCCCGTTCCTGACCGCCCTCTGTTAGCTCTTCCTCACTGTACAGTGGGGCTGATGCCACAAGCCATGCGATACTCGCGCTTGGTGTGTGGGAACACCAAAGGACAGGGGCAGGTAGAGCGACCACGTGATTTCAGTGGGCTTGGTCGCCGGGCCATGCCAACTAACGGTTGTGTCTGACGTACCCACCGACCGTTGGCTGTAGGGTGTCAGAGGTGACCTGGGAAGAGGAGACGACCGAGCCAACCAATCCGATGACGCAGGTTGTCGGTCGGAGACACGACCCGCTGGATGACACCCGGGGAGCACTGGCCTCTGGCTGCGACATAGTGCTGCCTCGACCCCTTCCTCTGCTGCCACGTCTGACTCGCTCCTAAAAACAATGCCTGCCTCCTCTGCCACTTCCTCATGTACATGTATGTCTGACATAACTCTTTAATTAAACGATATTATGTGTTCCCTGAGTAACAATTCTGTGTCCCTGTGTAGTAAAATTCTGTGTCTGTGCGAGGGAGTAACAATTCTGTGGCCCTAAGTAACAGTTCTGTGGCCCTCAGTAACAATTCTGTTGTCCCTGATTAACGTTTCTGTGGCCCCAAGTAAACAGTTCTGTGGCCCTCAGTAAACAATTCTGTGTCTGTGCGAGTAGTAACAATTCTGTGTCTGTGCGAGAAACAATTCTGTCCCTAAGTAACAGTTCTGTGGCCCTCCTAGTAAAAACAGTTCTGTTTCCCTGGAGTAACAAAATTCTGTGTCTGTGCGATAGTAAGAATTCTGTGTGTCTGTGCGAGTAACAATTCTGGTGGCTCCTAAGTACAGTTCTGTGGCCCTCAGTAACAGTTCTGTGCTCCCCTGAGTAACAATTCTGTGTCTGTGCGAGTAACAATTCTGTGTCTGTGTGAGTAACAATTCTGTCTGTGCGAACGTAAAAATAAAACAATTCTGTGGCCCTAAGTAACGGTTCTGTTCTGGCCCTCAGTTACAGTTCTGTGTCCCTGTTTGTAACAAATCTGTGTCTGTGCGAGTAACAATTCTGTGGCCCTAGTAACAGTTCTGTGGCCTCGCAGTAACAAATTCTGTTGTCCCTGATTAACGTTTTCTGTGGCCCAAGTATTAACAGTTTGTGGCCCTCAGAGTAACAATTCTGTGTCTGTGGCGAGTAAACAATTCTGTGTCTGTGCGAGTAGTAGTGGAGTCAGTTAGTAGTAACAATTCTGTGGCCCTAAGTAACGGTTCTGTGTGGCCCTCAGAAACAGTTCTGGTGTCCCTGGTGTAACAATTCTGTGTCTGTGCGTAGTGAGTAACAATTCTGTGGACCTAAGTAACAGTTCTGTGGTCCCTCAGTAACAATTCTGTGTCTGTGCGAGTAACAATTCTGTGGCCCTAAGTAACAGTTCTGTGGCCCTCAATAACAATTCTGTGTCTGTCCCTGAGTAAAAATTCTGTGGCCCTAACTAAAGTTTCTGTGGCCCTAAGTAACAATTCTCTGGCACTCAGTAACAATTCTGTCTGTCCTACTGAGTAACAATTCTGTGGCCCTAATAACGTTTCTGTGGCCCTAAGTAACATTTCTGGCACTCGTAACATTCTGTCTGTCCCTGGAGTAACAATTCTCATGGCTCACCAGTAACTGTCCCTGAGTAAAAATTCTGTGGCCCTAAGTAAAGTTTCTGTGGCCTGTGAGTAACAATTCTCTGGCACTCCGTAACAATTCTGTCTGTCCCTGAGTAACAATTCTCTGGCACTCAGTAACAATTCTGTCTGTCCCTGAGTAAAAATTCTGTGGCCCTAAGTAAAGTTTCTGTGGCCCTGAGTAACAATCTCTCTGGCACTCAGTACCCATTCTGTCTGTCCCTGAGTAACAATTCTCTGGATCAGTAACAATTCTGTCTGTCTGAGTAAAAATTCTGTGGCCCTAAGTAAAGTTTCTGTGGCCTGAGTAACAATTCTCTGGCACAACGTAACAAGTCCCTGAGTAACAATTCTCTGGCACTCTGTCAATTCTTGAGTAAAAATTCTTCGGCCCTAAGTAAAGTTTCTGTGGCCCTGAGTAAATTTCTTGCACTCCGTAACAATTCTGTCTGTCCCTGAGTAACAATTCTCTGGCACTCAGTAACAATTCTGTCTGTCCTTGAGTAAAAATTCTGTGGCCCTAATTAAAGTTTCTGTGGCCATTCTCTGGCACTCAGTAACAATTCTGTCTGTCCCTGAGAAACAATTCTCTGGCACTCCGTAACAATTCTGTCTGTCCCTGAGTAACAATTCTCTGGCACTCAGTAACAATTCTGTCAGTCCCTGAGTAAAAATTCTGTGGCCCTAAGTAAAGTTTCTGTGGCCCTGAGTAACAATTCTCTGGCACTCCGTAACAATTCTGTCTGTCCCTGAGTATGAATTCTGTGGCCCTAACTAGCGTTTCTTTGTCCCTAAGTAACAGTTCTGTGGCCCTGAGTAACAATTCTGTGTCTGTGCGAGTAACAATTCTGTGGCCCTAAGTAACAGTTCTGTGGCCCTCAGTAAACAGTTCTGTGTCTGTGCGAGTAACAATTCTGTGTCTGTGTGAGTAAAAATTCTGTGGCCCTAAGTAAAGTTTCTGTGGCCCAGGAGTAACAATTCTCTGGCACTCCGTAACAATTCTGTCTGTCCCTGAGTAAACAATTCTCTGGCACTCATACAATTCTGTCTGTCCCTGAGTAAAAATTGTTGTGGCCCTAAGTAAAGTTTCTGTGGCCCAGAGTAACAATTCTCTGGCACTCCGTAACAATTCTGTCTGTCCCATGAGTATGAATTCTGTGGCCCTAACTAGCGTTTCTTTGTCCCTAAGTAACAGTTCTGTGGCCCTGAGTAACATTCTGTGTCTGGTGCGAGTAACAATTCTGTGGCCCTAAGTAACAGTTCTGTGGCCCTCAGTAACAGTTCTGTGTCTGTGCGAGTAGTAACAATTCTGTGTCTGTGCGAGTAACAATTCTGTGGCCCTAAGTAACAGTTTCTGTGGCCCTTCAGTAACAATTCTGTGTCTGTGCGTAAGTAGTAACAATTCTGTGTCTGTGCGAGTAACACATTCTGTGGCCCTAAGTAAAGTTTTCTGTGGCCCTAAGTAACAATTCTCTGGCACTCAGTAACAATTCTGTCTGTCCCTGAGTAACAATTCTGTGGCCCTAAGTAAAGTTTCTGTGGCCCTAAGTAACAATTCTCTGGCACTCAGTAACAATTCTGTCTGTCCCTGAGTAACAATTCTCTGGCACTCAGTAACAATTCTGTCTGTCCCTGAGTAAAAATTCTGTGGCCCTAAGTAAAGTTTCTGTGGCCCTGAGTAACAATTCTCTGGCACTCAGTAACAATTCTGTCTGTCCTGAGTAACAATTCTCTGGCACTCAGTAACAATTCTGTCTGTCCCTGAGTAAAAATTCTGTGGCCCTAAGTAAAGTTTCTGTGGCCCTAAGTAACAATTCTCTGGCACTCAGTAACAATTCTGTCTGTCCCTGAGAAACAATTCTCTGGCACTCAGTAACAATTCTGTCTGTCCCTGAGTAAAAATTCTGTGGCCCTAATTAAAGTTTCTGTGGCCCTAAGTAACAATTTTTTTTTTTTTCTAACAATTCTCTGGCACTCAGTAACAATTCTGTCTGTCCCTGAGTAACAATTCTCTGGCACTCAGTAACAATTCTGTCTGTCCCTGAGTAAAAATTCTGTGGCCCTAATAACGTTTCTGTGGCCCTAAGTAACAATTCTCTGGCACTGAGTAACAATTTCTGTCTGTCCCT